AAAAAAAAAAAAAAAAAAAAAAGGACTTCCAAAATTAATAATACATGAGTGGAAGTTGCATTCATAGTCCAGGAAGCATCAAAAAATGTTCCAATACAAACAGGTTGAGAGAGATTATCCTTTCTCCCTATTCATCACGGCTGTGGATGCATCTGTAGTACCCTGTCCAGTCTGGAACACCATACAAAACACTCTGGTGTCATTAGGGATGTTGATTCGTTACATAGGGTGTGTGTATTCATGAGGAAATAATAAGATGCTTACAAAGGTGTTTTAAAGCTAGAGTTTGAAATAAGTACATTTGAAGTAGTTTATAAACTAATCAAAATGAACGTACCATCTGGCATAGCTGACAAACAGAGATACTGTTTATAAGACAAAGAAACAGGCAGTTCCCTCCCCCACTAATTACYCTTGAAAATTGTCCAAAAAGGGAAAGAAAAAGAAATAATCTAATTAGCAAAAGTTTACATTAGAGATAATGTAGGAATTAATTGGAGTAACAGTCAAGTTGGATTGATTAAGCAACAGTGTCAATGTTCTATCCAAGTTGTTAAGCAGAGACACAGTACCAGCAAGTCAAAAATACAGGAGACAGCAGGATAATAAAAGAGACAAAACAAGATACATTTGGCCAGTAAAGTAAAATTCAAGAGAAAACAAAATATAAAGAGATGGAAAGCTAAAACTGGGTGATGCTCTAATAAATATTCAAAACTTAAATCATTCTTGCCAGTCATTAAATGACAAACAAACCAAAAAAAAACCCTATTTCATCAATTTTAACCATAATGAATTATGTGTAATCTTCTAATTCCTAACTAATGCAATATTCCATGTTGTATCCACAAAACTGTCATMGAGTTACTGGGACCATTACTCTCCCTGTGCTCTACAGGAGGTTCATAAAACATTTGGCTTTGGCTGAGGCTGAAAGTGAAACAGGAGGTTTCAGGAACCTTTCTGCACTTTGGATCAGAARCAAACTCCCCGCTGACTTGTAAATGAGGTGTTTAAAGCTTAGCTAATGTAACCACTTGGTCTACAGAATCTCTGTCACATTCTTGCTGATGATCTAAGGCTGGTAATTGCTCAAGCTCAACGTAAGAAAGACCAGCTTTTTAGCTGACACTGAAGATATTCTCACCATTTACACCTCGAAGTAAGACATTATCAGCTGCAGACAGGAGCTTCTTGCACACACACCAAAATTAAATAAGTATATCCCAAAACTCAAGCTCTTTATTTGTCTCAGGCGTGTCAGACCTTGAATGCAATAATCTAATTCAATTCATCATGAATTTAGGCCTGCTTTGAGTAAAGGGTTTAACCAGATAAAGTCCCTTCCAACCTAAATTTGCTGCAGTACCTGTATTGCAGCTCCTTTCTGCAATCAGAGGCACAGGATGAGCARTACTGATCATTAAACCCCCAGTCAGTCCAAGCTAACAGTAGAAGCTGAGGAAGACTGACTTCCCTGACTTCCCATGAAATTAATTCACATTTTCTTTAAGAGGGATGAAACCTCAGTAATGTCCCAGRATATTGCATCACTCTGCCACCATGTGTAACAGGTTGTTTTCTGATTAAGATAATTTCTCAGCAAAAAGAARTACAGAGGAGTGGTTGAGGGCTTTTTTTGTCGTTAAATAAGAGTATAATTCCTGTATGGTTTTACGTAGACTAAAATCATTTGTGAACAACAGATGAGGTGTTATTGAGAAACCCTCAAATGCTCTATTCTGAAGTTAAAGCATATTTTTACTTGTATRTATAATCCAAGTAGCATTGATAAAATTGCTGAAGTGATCAAATCTGCCAAAATTTTTGCCTGAATKTAAGGATAGATTGACTGGGGTTATTTTGGTTTCAATTCAGTCTTCTGAGGCTCCCTTGTGCAGCTAGGTTTCCCCTGCAGGCACTTCTCCGTGATACAGGGATGATACTCATWATGATAACAAGGTCTTGAAATTGAAACATTTTTAAATAAATTGTGGGACTGTCTTGTAAATCCTACTGCTGGTATTTTATATAAATGCTCCTGATATTTTGGTGTATGATACACTTGTAAGATTTAAAATAGAGGCATCTATTTTAAATAGACATACTGAGGTCTGTCTGTATGACACCTTTTGCTCTATCAGYCGGTATTTCTGACAGCAAAGCTGGTCCATGAACTGCTCATATTGCTTGTTCCTGGCCCTGCTCACTCGCAGCAGCAGTCCCAGCTCCCTCTGCCATCATTAATTCAAATGCTGGTGGTGATGTGCTCCAGGTCAGAGGGAGAACATGCCCAGGCTCCTGGTCGTTGCCAGTCCGGGGGATATTTGGGCAGGAGGGAGGAGAGCTGAGACCTTCCACTGAGTTGAACATTCAGAAGTGCTGCTTGGGCAWTTGGTCATGTCACTTTACTCACTGAGACTCTTTCTCTCCCCTTGAAGGGCTCTCTGTGAAGCATTTCTGCAGTCAATGATTAGATGGGGAAAAGTAACCACCTAAGTCAGCAGTGCAGCCAGAAAGTTATTTACCAGCAGATCCCCTCACACAGGCCAATGAATCAACATAATGGAAAGGAATACTGCTCTAAGGGATTGCACAGACCTTTTAATCCAGCCTTGTCTACAGAAAAGCAATATAGAGAACTGCATTTAATTTCCATGTTAATACTCTGGTTCCACATTCTTGCTTACTATTTGTATCAAAAAGCACAAGGGGACACTCAAAGAGTTGTTTCCAAGAATAACCTAACTGATTAATACYACATTCTTAATTTCTTCATCTGCAGTTATTGATTTTTATTAAGGTACCAAATGAGCTTTAAAGCAAGGTGCTCTGCACTGAGCAATWCTAGGAAAATACAAAAGCATGCTAACATTGGAGAACTGCTGATAGTCAGTTCTACATTGTCCTGTAGATCACATAGCCTTAACTCCTCTGGCTGTTTTCTAGGCTTTTGCTTTTTGTCTTCATGTCATAYATAGAAACCAGAAGACAACATGGTTAATCTGAATAACAAGTTATCATGAACCAACACTTTCTTTTTTTCCAAAATACACGTAGGCCGAGTACAAGATGACAGCATACAGAAAAAATGACAGTGTTCACAAAGAATTTTACGCCTTCACAACAAAAGTGGGGACATATTTTTCCACTAACAATTGCGCCATTGGGAAAACCTGATTACCTTTTCCAATGCCTCAAGTATTTTTCGTATGAAAAACAGCATAACAAGTTGCAGTGAAATCTTCTTAACTGGAAAAATTATTTTTGCTAGCTTTTGTTATGTTTCATATGCAACTGTTACTCCAGATAAACTTTCAAGTAATATTTTTTTCTTTAGAAAAATGAACAGATTTAATAAAGATAKCCATTAAAAGAACAGGTGCAATTTTTGTAACACTACAAATTGATGGTGAGCTTCATGGTTGCAGGATTAATTTGCCATTAAAGCTGCTTATGTAGCAGTCTTTTAAGTATATATTCTGAGCAAGAAGGAAACCCCTAATTAGTAAGAAAATGCACTTTCACATCCTTTTCCTCCTAAATAGCTCAATATTTCTGTCACATTAAGGAACTTCAGAGGGAGACAAGATAACACTTTAATTTCAGACATGTAAATTAATACTGGCGTAAAGGCCAAGTGTGTGCTCAGCCCTCAATGCTGGATTTCCTGGGGAATTCAGTCTCTTCTCAGATCAGGCCAAGCAAGAACTGTGGTCTCATTCATGGATAAGAAAGCACAAGACTTGATAAAGTGGGTCATACAYACTTGTCAAGCAGTAGGATGCTTTGCTATTCATCAAATGAATCTAAATTAATACCAGTGGTCATAAAACTACCATTTTCAGCATATAATTTAACTTATCCAAAGATGTTTTTTTACTCTTTAAAGAGCTCAGTGYRCTAATCRCTGTTTTGTTGGAACTCTTCTATTTTAAAAAAAGGTAATTTTAATTAATGTTTTGGAGGCGTACTCATTATGGTGTGTGCCCTGCGTATTGTGTCATTCCGAGTGTTCTCTCTTAAAATACTAACATGCAAAGGTATTAGAAACACATCAAGTTTTCTAAATATCTGCCTGCAAAAAGACTAAAAATGTGCTTGTTTTGTTATTTCTAAAAAGAGAGCAAGTTTGTTTTGTATATTAGGAGAAATGATGAAATTTCTGGTTGGGCTCTGCATTCGGAAGAGAAACGCATCTAAGAAACAGAATATAATAATCTTTATAGCTGGGGGGGTTAATACAGTATATATACATCAAATAAACAGGCTTAAATTACTGCACTCTTAGCATATTCAAGGCCAGGAGATAGAATGTGTAAACAAGCACGTGCATGTTTACTGATCTAAAAAAAAACAAAACAGGCCAAAAATACAATTAATTACCAGTCAGATATTTAAGGGACTCGTTACCTGTCATTTACCTGTAATTTCACTATGACTGTTTCTTTATAGCTACTCCTGTTTCTTCCTTGTTTTGTTTCAACTAGTGTTTTTACAAAACAACAATATTCTTCATATTATAGCAACAGAAAAACAACATTCAACCCACATTGGCCACAACATAAGTCTGCAACGAAGATAGTTCTAGAAAAATTGCAGCACAGGTGTGATTCTGTCACCATGGGCTGATAATTCTTGTGAAGAAGTAAAAGACTGCAGCTCACAGAAGACAAAACCCCTTTGATGCTACTCCCTTATGACCCAATTTTTAGTCTCAGTGACAGTACTGTAATTTCTCTGAAAATTACATGCTCAGAGCAATTATTTCCTACATTGAATGCAAAAATTAGAAGAAAGTTCAAGTGAGGCGGAGACAGTGCTAAATTCACTCTGTTGTTAACATCTTATTCCTCTATTTGTGTATAGAAAGATAAGCAAACAGGAAAGCCACATGTTTTTTAGGATCTTAAATGCACATAGCAGAGTGGTGTAACCCTACCCACAAGCCCCAACAGTTGATAAACACACAAGTCACCTGCTGAAAAAAAACTTTATTGGAAAGAGTTTGAGCACCGTCTCCCTCTAAGGTTATAATTACCCCCTGCTGCAGCAGATCTTCTGAATAGATCCATCAGAGGCTGCAAAATTGCTCCTACMTGTGGGAAGGTTTTCTCCCCAAATTCCCAGCAGCAATTTTCTTTCCCGCCCCTCACACCCCGGCACCGCCACGGTGCCTCAGGGCCTCAACCTGAGCAACACTGGAGGTCACAGCGCTGGGATGGTGGACGGGGGCTTCCAGCAGTTTCCATGGACTGTCCATCTCTCCAGCCGGGCGGGGATGGCAGCAGGAGCCCAGAGAGAACTTTGGCTTCTCACGCCATGGGCCTCAGGGAGCGCAGGGAGCAGCAGCCGCCCCATGGAGGAGCTGGGCCGGGGCAGTGCCAGCGCCTGTGGAGCAGCCCAGACAGAGCTCCGGGGCTCTGGGGTGCAGRCTGCTCACCTTTCCCAGCAAGCAGGAGCTTCCAGGTGCCATTCCTGCCAGCAGGAYACCCACAGCATTCCCTGGGTCTCAACCTTCCCACCCGTGTCTCCCCCAACACCTGTGAGCAGGGCGAGGTCCAGATTGGAGCTCATTATTTCCCTCACAGGGATGCAGTGAATGTTGCTTTGCAGATGTCAAACTGAACATGTACCGAGTCAAATACCCTTTTCCACAGGCTGTTTMATGTTTTTCCTTAACATGCTAATGGTGTTTTAGGAACACTTTCTCCTCTGTGAGAGATTTCACACTATTGTGACTCCTTCAACTTCAATACACATTTTTGAGTCAGCAGTGTAGTTGTATCAGAAAAAGGAAGTGTATGACTTGCTCTACCGTAGGCAGTGTCTCTACAAAAAAAAAAAAAAAAAACCAAAAAGCAAAATAGCCATTATCATCAATTTCCTCCCATTTTCTTGGTGGCTGTAGTTTGAGAATTGGAAGGTTTTTGTTCTTTTCTAATTCTAGTTATTTTTTCCCTCACAAAGGTGGGCCTGGCTCTGGTAAAGGTAGCCAATGTGAACAGTTAGCCAAGAAATATGGATWTACTCACCTGTCCACTAGTGATCTGCTCCAAAACGAGTTATCATCATTATCAGAGAGAAGTAAATTTATCAAAGACATCGTGGAATGTGGTGAACCAGTGCCTGGCGTAAGTGATGGTTTTATTTGGAGTTCTAATGTTATACAAAGGCAGTGGTAGGAGTGGTTGGTAAATTGTCTAAAACAGTGGAATTAGGTACTGAGGCTGATGATTCCCCTTTCAGTAAAATTAATCCGTAACCTGAGGGAGTTATTTCCTCATTGCCAAATCCATGGCACTTGTTTCCCCTTTCAGTGCCAGTATTTCTTTATGTTTCACATAGGCAATAAATTAGCCATGAAATACAGTGAGACAGATGCACTGCGAAACATAAGCGTAAGTACAGGAAACAGAAACTTTATGTCCTTTTTATAGCGTTACATTTCAGATTCAGAGCYGGTCCTCCTGGCAGCTATTTTAAATTACAGTACCTGCAGCAGTTCCCTGCAGAGCTGGCTGACATCCCGGAATAGCTGGACTGCAGCTTAATGGAGACTCTGAAGGCAGAAGTTGTTGTTCTCAGCTGGACCTGACTTTTTCATGGCAGGTCCACAATCCCAGCTCTTGGTGGGACTTCAGCAAGTGCTGCTAGGTCAGAGAAAGTGTTTGTTAATGAAAGATACTGGAAAGTGCTGCTTAGGGGAAACTAAAAGCTGTGCTCAGGCTTGATTTTGATTGCTTTGCTCTTCAGTGTGTTTGGTCAGATGGGGGTCGCTTTCCATGTAATATAATTATGCCGGTGACACAGCAAAATGCAATCAGGTTGGAAAATGCTGCAGCAGTACTCCAGAGTTTCACAAGTATTAACTTCATTTTRAAACTATGAAATATTCTGAGCTATTTAGAGGGCACTTTGGGAAATCTTGGATGGATTGCAACGCTGGATTTGTGTAGCATAGCTGGTCCTGAGGGATGAAAACTCAAGAGTCCTCTGCTACCTGCAGGACAAGAAAAGCAACTGCATTCACATGCGTTTTAGCCAAATAGGATCATTTTCAAGGGTGTAGGACTAAAGTCAGTGTAACAAACAAAGGTATAAAACTCTCTTATTAATGAACCAACTAATTCCCTCTCTTTCCTATACAGGGTATTGTTCTAGAGCTACTGAAGGAAGCCATGGTGTCCAAGCTAGGAGACACAAAAGGATTCCTGATCGATGGGTACCCCCAAGAGCTGAAAGACGCWGAAGAGTTTGAGAGCAAGGTGACCATACAATTGTAATGCTGTATAACTCCTGTAATTTTGGTGTTGCTTGCATTTGCAATTCCCTATCCTTAGCTGATTGCAGCAGGRACATGTAAAATGCCAGTCCAGTAGAGTGTGCTGCTGATCATTGAAACTCTGGTACCGTCTCAGTATGGCGAATCTAGCTTTTGCCCTTACCTACACAGACTCTAGAATACAAGGAGAAGTAAAGACTGATTTTACCTAAATTTAATGCAAACCAGGAATAATTCTCATTTAGCGGAAAGCATAATTTTAGAACCAGTTTTCTGGTTCTAGTGGATGATGCTGTACTCCTTAGGAATGCCTGATCAATCACTCTCTGATGCAGGTTCATGGAAGTTATGTATCTTCACAGTTAATATTTCTTACCAGTAAGCCATCTCTGCTAAATTTTGCTGCCACTTGAAAGAGCCAAACACAGATTTAATTTTTGTGATGAGTAACAGGTGGCACAGCCATAAAAAGAGCGTTCTGCAAGTGCCTGCGTGGCAGTTCCGAGAGTTATCGATTCCCTCARCATGTGCTAAGACCTAGCRAGRAGYCTCAGCCGTACATTTCTCAGTCTGCAGAAAATRCTCTGTCTAAGCCTATGAATGAATGTGCCAGGGTTTAGGAGAAAAGRAGTGGTGAACTAGGCAAAATAGTTAGTATATGTTACCTCCTATCACACTCCACAAATGTCCTAAACMAGTTTGTAAGGTAATAAAACTTCAGTGAGTTCCCTGTTTTCTAACTGAACCTTGAGCTGTTTTATTTACTTGATCACTACAAAAGCCTAGCAATATTTAGGCATYAGAAGCCAGACAAAATAATGGGCAATGGAATTTGCTACAGAAGCCATTCACAGAAATGTTGACCTATTMGTTCCTTTACTAAAAGGCTGTAGATATTAGAATGACATTGGAGATTTATTTCATTTTGCATCTAAGGAGGAACTGTTTCAGCAGCGCTGTTTMTCTGGCAGGCATTTATGTCGTGTCCTGTGAACACTGGTCTATGTTATGAAGTGGGATTTAGAGGCTGGAGTGTCCTGGACTGAGGTATTGCCAGGCAAATAAGTCTTAATGCATCTAGTGCTGAAGCAGAGCCCCTGGCATTTCCCTGAAAGCAGCAAAAGATCCTGCAGTCCTGATCTGCATTTGGCATTTGGACTAAAATRTAAGGATCTCTAGTGACCATTTTGAATGTGCTAAGTCACCCCTGTTGTGCTTTATGTCCACTTAACTTTTCACAGGATGAGCTTKGCTGGCTGTGAGCTACTCAGTAAGACTGTGAAAAAAATTTAAATTAGTTATTTTTAAGATAATGCTTGCAGTTCTTTCCAAAGGGTGAYGAGAAGTTCTTAAATTATAATTGAATGAAAAGAGGTGCACATCAGGCCTTATTAATTAATGGCAGCAAAGTACAGATGAATAATGCTACATATCTACATGATACGTAAATAGCTTTGTAATTCATAACAAAGTCTTGTTCTATTTAGAAGACATTAAGAATAATGCTTATATTTCAGAGCTTGGTAGCTTTGACTCATAAACAGGATGAGCTATGTAGAAGCAGCTTATTCTCCAGCCAGTTTTGCCCAATTCCCTTCTATGATACATTATACTTTTACCCAGCCACAATTCTAGAGAAGCACARATCTCTATTCCCTCCTTGGTCTTTCTGCAACGTGAGAAAACATTGTTAAATTATATATTCCACAGCACCAGGTGGGAAATACTCAGTAAGACAGAGCAAAGACCCAAAATACTATACTTGTTTGGTATGTGTTATTTATGCTAAATTGTGTCAGGTAAATAGTAATTAAAAATTAAAAAAAGGAGCAAAAATTGCTGTAATACCTAATAAGGGCATTACTTTCACTTTTTGTGYGTTTTCATTTGGAAGAAAGATATTTCTGTAACGTTTTGAATTCCAGATAATAGCAATACTGAAACTTTTAAGAAAACTGTAAATTTTTCAAAAACAGATCAAACCAAGTCCTATCCATCACAGACTCCTTCATATTCTGATTGTAAGGTGGTGATATGAGTATAACTGATGAAAGGAATTATTCCCTATTTATGCTATTCTAATTTGGAGCATTCCTCACATGAAACTGAGAGGAAATAACTTCTCACCATCCTAGTCTAGTTATACAAAAAGTGCATTTGTTTAAATCACTGATTAAGCCCACGTCTTTTTTTAATTCTCTGTGTCTCTTGCACTATTAAAACTGCCTTATTGGCTTTTATAATACCCAAACCCGATGCTGCTACAGCTAATAGCATTAATGTTTTCTGGGCTGTGTRGAAAAAATGGGTAGATAAAAGCCTGTCATTGAACTGTCCAACATAATCCCTTGGCTACAGCTTCTCTTAGAAAGTCATTAAAGGGAGTAGAAAGGTCAACACAATCCAGACATCCTCAGTGAAATGSAGAAGGCTTGACATGAAATATTTACCTTAAGAATATTTCTTCCTTTAATGGCTGTAAACAAAGATAACAATGGCAATTTCCATATATCAGTCATTTAGATTTTCTTTGCTGTAGCCAGGGTAAAAATATGRTTTCACAATGGTCACTAGTGTGAAAAACAGTCATCTTTTTTCAAGACATCTCACCTTTTCCTAAAAGGTGTTCTCCTGATCCATGCTGGAAAGGGAAGGAATGAGAAAAAGATTTGAGAGTGTCATTGAAGGATTAAATACATAACTGCATGGAAAAATTGTTTGGGGTTTTTTTTTTCACTGAATTTCAATACCTTTATTTTGCTTGAGAGAGTGGAGTTTATCCCTTTGGACTCAGCCCAGCAGTTTTTGCTCATACAAAACCTTGTTTCAGAGAGTACTGTGCCTGAGCAGGGTGCATGACAGTGCATTCCAAGATTTATGCTAAATGACACACATATTTTTCAGTGTTTCAGGGAAAGAATGATGAGGATTTGTGTTTGGAACTTYTGGCTCTCTCCTGAAATACCATAAAGAACATTTTTCTCTGTCTTGCCATTTCTTTTTTACTCATAAAGTRCTGCAATATCTATCATCAAAAGTAGAGAGGGACAATTATTTATTATCTTTGCCAGGCCCAAGAATAAAAATAAATAAATCTGTATTTATTTTTATTATGGAAAAGGACAGACTCTCCCTYATGACTAGTATGGCACTAGCTAAASAGCATTAAATAGTCAGCTTCTCACAGAATTTGGAAATTACTTGCCAATTTGAAAATGCAGAGAAATGTATCACATCCTTCTTTTACATCATGGGTAGCAGTGATGTGGGTACACTGCAAATAAAAACATAAAATACTGTGTGGCATAAAGTAATTCACAGGATGTATTCCTGTGAATATTTGATGGTGTCCCTGAGCCTGTCTGTCGTTACTCATTTCCATCTCAAGTGGGCACACTTTAATGTGGGCATTTCCTGCTACTGCTTCTTGAAATTTTAAGCTGTGGTTTACCCCTCCCTTTTCACACATTGAACAAAGAAAAGGCTCCAAATGTAACTGTGTCAAGTATTCCATAAGTGCATCAAGCAAATAATGAACAGACACTCTTCAGCCCAAGTAGTCAGAATTTGCCAGATCATCTCTCTTTATCTCTTTGTGTAGAGCCCAGTCAGGCACAGCCTTGATACTGAACCTTTCCATCTCTAAGTGCTGCTACAGTGAGAGGTGTTTGCTAATAAACATAATTTCTGCATAGATAAATACTATTTGGTAATAAATTCCTTGATGACTGGTTTGATATTAGCCAAACAAAATCTGTTTTACTGGGGCCAGTACTTTGARTATTTGTTGTTTTCCTTCGTCTCTAGATTGGGGAACCAAAGCTCGTGCTCTGCCTGGACTGCTCTGCAGAAACCATGAGCAGTYGCCTTCTGATGAGGAATCAGAGCAGTGAGAACTCTGATAACCCTGAAACCATCGAGGAAAGAATTGAAAGCTACTACCAAGCATCAAACCCTCTGATTGCATACTATGAAAGCAAGACACAGTTATGCAAGGTAAATTATTTRACCTTTTAAATTAAWTTTTTCCTTTTCACTTCAATWATCTGGTGTATTTGGAAAACACTGACACAACACTATTTGTGAATGGTTTCTGCACTTTCCATTTGTTCTTATTTTACAGTTCCCTGGTTTGTTTACAACTTCTGCAAACTTCTGAGTTCCACAGTACAGTTTGAAGGAATAAAACCACAGATTTATCCTTAGCCTGAAAATATATCCTGAATCGATAACTCATCTGTATAGAATCTCTTATTAAACAAATTCTGGAAAGCTTTTCTTTGTGTATTAAGATTTAGTACTCTGTAAGGGCTTTCGGAATTAGAATGAAAGATTATGTTAATCCAAAACTCTTTAGTAGGATTTTCAAAACTGACGATGTATATCCTGAAATAAAACAGGCCTGTAGACAAGAAAGAACTTTTTGCTGGAATAAATAACATYGTTATACTAATTTCAATGAATTATCTCAATTTATACCTGCTCATGATGTGATATTTAAAACATTATTTTTATTCTATAATCAATATTTTACAGAGTAGCGAGAAAAATTCCATCAGTGCACTTAGCTGATGTATGTGCTGTCACATCTGTAGACTCATTTACATAGGATGTTTGGGGTTTTTTTTCTTTGTTTCTCTTCTCTTCTCTGTCATGCAAACTGTCCCTTAGTTCAACTACAGAAAGGTCTAGTCCTACTGCTCTGTCTTATCCTAAAAGGGAAATAATCCAATAATAGTTTCTGTAAATACGGGATCTGTTTTTTCCAGAGGCTGTAGCAAAAATGCAAATCACGTCTCAAACTCTTCCTCTCTGCAAAGTTCCCAAATACAAATGTGCAGCTAATTTATGCACCAATATCCTGACCTGAGAACAGGGTAAACGACATAATGCTGAGAAAAATGGTACTCAAAGGAAAAGTCCTGATTTGTGGCCTTTCCTAACCCCAACARTAAATGCACATAACACAAAGTCTAAGTGGCAAGAAAAAGGCCCCACTTACTTTTCATCTTCAAGCTTACAAATGATGATGTGGTTTATTTGTTTTTTCTTTGAGGAGCTATCTTGCCAAAATTGCAAGGATGTGCCTAATTAAGAATTCAGCACAATACACCAACACAGCACAATRCAAAACAAACAGAGCTCTCAGTCTCAATATCCTATTCCAGGGAGCTGTGCCTACCGCAGTGTTTCCTTGTTGGAGCATCAGGGAAGTGACAGCCCCAAAGAGACTGAAACTGTGCTCAATGTTTTCACACAGATTTTCCATTCATGGTCTGCCTCGTTWCACTTTGGACTTTCCTTCCTTCATGCTTCTCCTGCAAGTTCCTGCTCCATGTCCTATGTAATGGCAAAATATGCAATCTTTTCTTGAAAACTGGTAGCTCATAAGCTCCTGAAGGAACTTGCCTGATCTGTGGGTCAGAGCTGGGTGTGTGATTTGTACTCTTACCATTAGTTTTGGGAAAGCTGCCATTGTATGTCTGCATGTTGATAATACCTGTGCTTCACTTGAACAGCACCTACACTGCTTTTCTTACAATGTCGTATGTTGTCTGATMTTGCTTCTGGTAAATATAATGTTTAACATTCATCAGTCTTCCACATGGAACCATTGGGCATGAAAGCTCTGTAAAATCAGCTTCATAAACATTAACATGGAAAATGCCTTTTAAAACTATTTTAGTCATGGATATGTTTAAGCTGCATGTGTTGAAGAAAGCAAATAATCAAGGGGAAGTTTGCAATTCCCAGGACATGGGGTTAGTTCCTTATTTATAACAACACATTTTACAGACAGCCAAGCATTGACATTAGCAGCCACTGGGTGTTCTCTGAATAATGAAAGGAAATTCAGGTGGAAAGCAGAAAAACTGACAATAATAACTTCCGATCAAATATAACTTCTGACTGCATTTTTTTTTTTGGTGCAGGCTAAGCAAAAAATAGTCCTTGATTTTTGTTATTTGTAATATCATGCRCATACAGAGAAGACTGAGACTTTACCTAGAGGCAGCCTAACATGTTTAATATTTTTCTTGCCCATTTTAATTAAAACATCACATGTTTACAGCATTGGGGATTTTTTTTCATTCCTAAGTGGGTTTTATCACTCTCCAACCCTGACCAGTGCTGGCTGAAGGTATTGATGCTCCCATGGAGATGCTGCTGGCTCTATAATTCTGCTTCCTGAAATAACTGTGTGTTTCCTGTCCTTTTCAGACAAAGTCACCAAAGTTAATTTACTAGTGCTGATTTGACAACCCYTTAAAATAAATTCTCCTCTACATTCATGGATTTATTTTAAATAATCCCTGAACCTCCATGTAACTACAGATCAGAGGCTTGTGCAGTCTTAGGCAAAGCTGGTGGGATCCAATAGCTTCTGGGAAGTGATGCCTTCCTGAAAGTGCATTTTGGAGATCCAGATAGGTCTGTGATCCTGGGATAAGCAATGGCCAAAGCATCTGATGAGAAGCAGTTTAAGAGAGGAAGAGCAGAAGGGTCTAAAAGAATCTTCTATTCCTGCCTAGGTTTGATTTTTCAACAGAAGCAGCTCTTCAGTGAAAGGCCCACGTGAGCTTTTTGTCCCTTGAGATTGCAGCAATGCACTTTCTTAAGCATGCAGAGGAGTGGATGTTGAGATTTAAGAGGAATATTAGAGTCTAAATCYCACTAACTTGCATGAAGATTTGGCATTAGCCGTTCCTAGCCAGCTTACTGCAGTGTGTGGCTAAGGATCACTGAGTTCTAGGTATTGTATAGGTGATCATGTTTCGTAGGGCTTGACTGTAGCAACCAGCCCCACTTGGCCACAGAAAATAAAATCAGAAATAGACTYGTTTAACAAGAAAATAGGGTTGGTATACTGATGTAATTTCATTTCTCCAGTTTAAGTGTATTTAGGGTTGGATGAAGTTTTTTTTCCACAGACTGGGAAGAGTACATGGTAACAGTGGTATGCATTTAACTTGCTCTATCTGCTCTAAAGGTTTTCAGTTCTGAAACAGGCTGATTAAATATGCAAATGTCAAATTCAGTCCTGGGCATAAGGCCAGCAAAAGGTCTGGTGTGGAAATTAGATGCTGGCTGAGCACTCAGCAGAGGAGGAGCTGATCTGTCACACCACATCAAGGTGTGGTGAGAGTACAGTGTCAAATGAGCTTTCTTACTCAGTGCATTGGAACGAGAGTTAAGGSATGGTTGGATGGAGCCTGACAAACACAGTGCAGACAGAAATGCTCAAGTCTGACCTGGCTTTCTCTGCACTCATTAGGAATTCTCTCCTTGCTTTACTTGCACAGAATAGACAAAGGTGTACGGTTGTAACAGCATTCCCACTTTAATCCTCGAGGATGTTATGACCTTCTCCAACCTAGAGTTATTGTGCATGGGTGCATTCATAACTAACTGATGTGATATTTGGAACTGGAACATTTTTCCATTCTGCTGACCTCTGCACAAGAACAGTGACCTGGTGAAGCTGACAAAAGATCAGGATTGTTTTGGAAATTTCCCTTTGGCCAAGATTACCTGGTCGTGTTTCTGCTCAGCAGTAGAGGCTTSAGGCATGGACAAAGGGTGAAGGCTGTGAGCACAGATGAAACACTTGTGAGCCTGACAGGAATAAATAACAGCAATGCTTCCAGCCACCCTGCTGAGATCAAAAACTGTGTATGTATTTGCAAGGGAAGATAAACTGACTGARGAATGAAGGGCAAAGGCAACAGTGTTCTCACTTTTCTGCTGAGGTTTTAAGTTTCTAAATTGTGTTCTGGAAGGTAAAGTAGCTGTGACTAATAAGTTAGAAGTTTTTCAATTAATTTCTTTCTAAATCATGTTTTGGGGATTTAGTTTAATATGCCATAATTTCTTTCGTAGTCAGTTACAGAACATCCACCTGCTGCTAAGGACAGCAAGTGGCTGCTTTTCAGTAACGACCTTGTACTGGAAGTGCAAGGGCTGAAAGCACTATTCAAAAACCCTGGCTGCWAGCTGCCTGGTTCTGTGGGAATCAGCTGTTTCAGAGCAATGAAATTAAGTTAAATGAAACTAAATGCATTAGAGTAACTGTAGTAAGCAGGTAGAAGCTGTTGGTTTTGAATGTATTTCTCAGTGATTTCCAAGACAGCTGGACAGAAAAGTGCATCTGAAAATTTAGTTGACACCTCCTTGTGTTTTGAAATGGCTAAATGTAAATCCCTTTGAATATATGGCCCTCTGTCAACTGAGAAGAAAAGGAGAAAAAAAAAGATTGTTTTTAATATCTGACTCATCCTGTAAAGCTTTTTGGAAGTGACAGTATGTAGGAGGGTAATAAGTAAGAGAAAAGAGCAATGCATTGGTAGTCAAGCAAGACAGCACTGATCCCACYTAGCTAACAGAACATACCTGGTATCTTAAATGCAAGCTCCCTATTCAAAGTCACCTGAGGAAAAGGGCATGAGTATAACAAATAAGCTAAGCAGGCCAGAGGAGAGGATTAAAGGTGTCCAAAACGTGGACTATTTCAGATCACATGCTATGAAAGTTTAGYCTACAAAGTCCAACAGAAGTTCATTTTTCTGTGCTTATTTCCTTCTTTTTTTTTTATTTATTTTTTCTCAGTGTTGTTCTATTTTTTTCTAAAATGATTTGAAGTCACATTTTCCATAATCATATGAAAGAACATGTGACCATCCACCCTCCCTTGTGACCAAAACCTCCCAGTCTTCCACTTGTGAGTTTGCTGATCCCATTTTAAGTGTRTGCTGGGAGGGGCAGCTTCCCCCTTTCGAGAAGGGGTAATCGATGGTAATAGTGAGAGCAGGTATGTGGTTTATTTCCATCTTTTGAAAGGTTGTCACASACCCATTAACCCTGACAGATGAGGATGTGGGGAACAAAGGAACGAATGATTCTCTATTCCCACCTTGGTGCTTTGAGGCCCATTAGATGAGACACTGATCTGGAAAGATACATCAGAAACATGAGCAGGGGATCACAGATAAAACACAGCAGAAAATTCATGCCTGATGTGAATAGGTCTCAGGGCAGTGTGTTTGCAGTGGATTTACAGACAGCTTGATCCATTGCTCTGAGAACCAGGTACTGCACAGTCTCAGAGAGGTTTTCTAACACACTTTAAAGACAAAGACATAAATGTTAGTGACAACACAGCTGAACTTGACTGACCTTCACTAAGAAGCTTCTAACTGGTGAGTTTATTCCAGAGTCTGGCCTCAGCCATCTTCTCTACAGGCAGTCAGGTTCTTCTCAGTGGCAGTAAATGTTTAAGGCTCCAAATTTCAAAACCTACAACCAATGGAGATGTGTTGACAGAAATCTTAATTGGCTGATTTTAACAACTAAAGGAGCAACTTTTTACTGTGGGGATGGTACTTCAGTAATTTTTCAGAGAAGCTCATTAAATTTCTCTGTAGCTGAAGTTACCTAAAGCCATAGCTACATTTCAAAACTGGGGAAAACTGTATATGGGTCTTGTTTTATGAGAAGCCAGCCTTTAATAGCCTTGAAAAAAGGCCTAATTTATGAGGTTTGTTATATTCTGAGAAAGAGAAATACACAGTTTTCTCTCTGGAGCTGCCGAGAGTGTCATTGAATTACTGTAGTACTAGATATGAATTATTGGCACATTAARTTAGTTTTGTGCCACGATGTTAAGTTAGTTTTATGAATTGGACCTTTGTTATTTAGGAGGCCAACATTGGAAGCACTGGGGCTGTCATTAGTCAGGCCCATCCATATTTTATTGGTACTGTCAGGAAGTCAGCATTCCAGCCCATCGTAAAGGGTGGCAATTTCCCTGCTTACAGAACTAATTCTTCATCACAACTCCTTAGATCTAGACCTGAGTATCAGTCCCAGTTCTGAAGAGGTCACCAAAAAGCCAGTGGCAATCAGCTGTGCTGATAAGGTTATATCAGACAATGCAGAAATATTTATGAAGTAAGGAGATAACARAAATACATATTAACACAAGAGAGCTTTGAAATTGCTGCGGCCTTCACCCTGTGTGCAGTGTATTTCCTGCAGTGTATTTCCTGTGGGATAGCCATAAGAAAATAGTTGTCTTGGCAGTTGAGACAGGCAAAACAAGCTGTTTTACAGCAGCTGAGATGGGAGTTTCTGGTTTTATGTTAACTGGAGAAGGTAGACCTTTAGTCCAGAATGGTTCACCACTCCCATTTTCTCTTTGCTACCCATAAGTACCCCTCCCACTCCTAAATGCTTTTAGTCCATGGCACAAATCTTCTGAAAGATGTGTAGCCCTTGTGGCAGAACTGTCCTTTCTAAGGCCCTGCCTCACTCTACAAAAGGCGGCAGCAGCAGCAGATGCCAGGGGATAGTGAGGAAGGGCAAGGGACCGTGCTCCTGCAGCTGGCCAGGAGAACTGAGGGGACTGACACTGTCACACATCCCTGCAAAGGGCCCGAGGGGACCGGCYCCAGTCAGGCAGGGCTCCCTAAAGGCTGGCCAGGCTGGTTATCCAGCCCTGGAACTCTGTGTGTGGAACAGGCTGTGTGCCAGCACTTCCGACAGGAGGCCACACAGACCAAASTTTGCAGCATCTGCAGATGCCACCATGAGCAAAACTGAGCTAYGGAGAGTGCCTGCAGCCCCTGCTGGATCTGTGCAGGGAGCAGCTGTGACTCCCACACGAGACTCAGCACCAAGGCACTCAGACGTACATGGAGTGCAGTCAGCTGTACAGGAGCTGGCTGCAAGACARCGCTGCATCTGAGCAGAATTTCTTAGCCAATTTAAAAAATACATTTATCTGAATATGAAACTCCTTTAATTCTCCTGCAGACCAAAGAGATGGCAGAAAGTATGGCAGGAATGTCCCCTTCAAACACTACAGTTGTCTGGTATTCTAGTCAGCAACTTGGAGATGAAAATGCAGCCGTTCAGAAAAAGATCCTTTGGCAAAGTTGTCATGGGTCCATTTAATCTTGTGCAAACTCGATGTGACGCAGGCATGAAAGACTGAGCATGGAGAAGCAGAGAAGCTTGTTTGTGAGGAAAGACCAAAGCTCTTTGAGGAAGGGAATAACCAGCAGATGCATCTGCATGGTAAACACAGCCAGTGTGAATGCTGCTTCAGTTGTTYCTCTGCTGTGAGGGCAAAAGACAGMTCTCCTTCCTCCAGTGTCACTGCACAGGATGGACATGAAACTCATTGCTCAAAACAGCTCAGCTCTGCCTCSTTTTCCAGAAAACAGAGACAAGTATTATTAGCTGCAAATGTCATTCCTCTGTGCTGGAATGCAGCTGTCCCTTCCTCAGCATAGGAAAGTAAACTGGTCTTGTTTTTGTGAAGTACAGTCATGAAAAATAACTTGATTAGAAAACTGAATCTTTGCGGTGTTTAAGAAAAAAAAATCTCTTCAATGAAAGTTCAGTTCTTATACCACAAAAGCGGTGCCCCTATAAAAGATAGGGGCAAAGGATGTCACAAAACCACAACCAGTTCACCGAGCTTCCAAATACAAATGCACAGAAACACTTGGATTTGCCAAGCTGCTGTGGAGTGGCCAATACCCACAGTGCTGTGCAGCCCTTCAGAATGACCTCTACAGGTTGGAGTGATGGGCTAAGACCTTTGGCAACTGTTTTGTATCAAAGGTGTGATTTGATTTTATTTTGAAACACGAGTTTTGAGTTTAAGTTCCTTCACTTGACTAATGTGCKTTGCAAGCCTGCAGAACCTTCTTACATAAATCTGTGGAAATGAGTAATTTGGTTTATTGAAGCTGCTTCTCTACATTTGAATGCTTCCACCATGAAGAACAATATTATTATCATTTTATATTAGACCAGGTTTTTGTATCATAGTTTAAATTCTGAGATAATTCTTTGTAACTCAAATTAATCAAAACTGTTTTTTTCCTGCTTTGCAGGTTGATGCAGAAGGAACACAAGAGGATGTTTTTCTGGAAATCTGCAAGACAATTGACTCTTTTCTGAAAAAGGAAGAGGCAGCATTTTCTTTTTCACCAGAAATGCAGTAATGGTGTGTCATGGTTTCTACACAGCCTCGCCCACGTGCACCCCACAGCCATGATTTGCTGGTCAAAGCAGTGCTGCTTTCTTGAGAGGTATCTGGAATTTGTGCATGTGGTGTCACTCTAGATGCAATCTTTGTTCTGACAGTACACTCAACAGAAAGTGGTCTGTTTGCTAAGCCCACTCTAAGAACTCTATTTTGTTTTCTTGGGTGTTTGCTCTTCACGGGTTAAAAGCAGCGAGGCGAGCAGCAGCTCTGGTTTGTATTTCATGGTCACACACGTTCCATGGGAAATGAGACAGTGCCTGGCCAGCAGGGAGCTCTCCACCCACCTCAGTCACTGTCCAGCACACCCACATTAGGGTTACTAATTACTATTACAAGTTTCCCATTGGTTGTTAYTTTCTTTCAATTAACAGTATTAATTTTTGTGATGTCACTTAGCTTGTTCCTGGGCTTTAGTGAYTAAAACCTGTTGTCTGTAACACGCAGCTCTAAGAGAGCTGGAATTAGTCAGACTAAAAGTTAAAATAAACTTTTCACACCTCCCCAGAACACTATTGCAAGGAGAAAAATTAATTGAAAATACAGTTGAATGTTGTGGAAGTCTGTCAATCCATTAYTGGGGAGCAGACACCATTTTTGAGACAGTCTTGTCTTCTGCTGGGAATGGTTTTATAACTGRCTTCCCAGTTTTGTGAGCTGAGAATGATGATTGTATTGTGTTGTTAAATGTGCAATCCAGTAATGATCCATATTAACAGCAGTTGTACTATAGCTATTAAAGTCTGTATGTAAAGTTGATTATGAGCCAGAACATCTCATGTCATCTTTAAATTACACTTCAAGAGTATTTCAAATGCAAAATTCAGATCATCATCTTGTCTTGTACTGGCATTGCCAAACTTGGGGGGGGACGGGTGGGGTGGGGAAACCAACAAAAAAGGAAAATGTCAGGGATTATTTGATTCATGTTGCTTGCACCTTTAGTAAGCCATTTATCTGTAATCTGCCAAGAAGGTCTGTAAAAGTCATATTGTATTTYCATTAGGTTAACCAAAGTATTGTGGAGTTTCTTTGATATACTGACAGCTAAATAAAAGCTTGTTTGACATTCCTGTAAAGTAACTGCATCCTCTTACTGGAACTACTGAATGAATTCACAGTAAAAGCGGGTTGCATGATTGCTCGTACTGTCAAAGGTGTACTTTATGCAGATTTGCATTTTTAAAGTTACCTTTCTTGTAATGAAGACATAATAACAAATAAAACATGTACAAAAATGAGGAGTAATGATTTCTGTTACAGTATATGTGGGTTTAATCCTTTTCAAAGCACAGTACATGACTTGAAAATATAGCTCAAATCAGCATGCTTACAGAGTGTCCTTTTTCCAATCAGGGCAGATTCTTCCGTTTCCTTTTCTTCCTTAGCATTTGCCCTGTAGATGCTAATTCAATTACTTTTTAGGGTCTGTTTTACGTATGTTCTTATCCTTCATATCCTGGATGTTCCTTCTTTCCTGGGTCCTTCTATAGCCTACATTTTACCTCGGATGCTGTGGGAAGTGCTTCTCCAGCTCCAGCCATTGCCATTGAGCAGCAGCAGCAGCAGCATCTGCAGTACCATCAGCTCGGGAGAGCAGCCCTGGCTACACCAGCCCTGGYGCTCCAGCAGCTGCTGCTGGAGTCGCTTCCTTTTAAAAGCACAATACTCTGGAGTTACCACCAAGTTGCAAATTCATCTGGGTAGGTTTTCTGGAGTATTTTCTGTGATTTCTAATTACAGTAGAAGTTATAAAGTGTGGAGTCTCATACTTGTGCAGGATGGGAACAAAGGCAACAATCAGCTGCTATTTTGTTGGGTTTTTTAAAATCAAATTACAAAAATTGTTTACCATACACTTTAATTTTTCTTTCTGCTTCTTCTGTCTTTTCTGTGGAAAAAACCAAAAAAACCCCCATGCTTAATTTGGTGTATGTGCATTAGATACCTATTTGCATACATTCATAATGTATGCAGGAGAAACAGCATGCATAGGGAAACATTTATACATATTCAATAAAAGAGAACTTAACCAAGACATTTCTTTCTTGGGTGATTCAGACTCAAAATTATCCTTTGGCTTCCAATCTTCCAATTTCAACAATACCATGATTTTTTTTCTTTCCAAGGTATCCTAAATTGATGACTGAATATCTTCTCTAATTTACTTCTCTTACTTTATACCAATTTTTTTTTCAGGATGTTAACAGAAAATGAGTGTTACCACAGATCCTCTTCCTGATGATACACCTTCACCAACTCTAGTTTCCCATAAAGAGCATGAATGATGTGAAATACATTTTTATGGTATTAGAACGCCTCTCAGAGCAGTATCGTTTCCAATTAAAACTAAAATACATCATGTGAGTTGTGTTGTATTTTTTAAGGTTTATTAAATTTATCTAAGTATATGAGATCCGTGAGATATGTTTACATATGATACTTGCTCAGTGTTTTAGTAACTGTACTGCATTACTTTCTAAATAGATTAAATGCCTAAATTTTTCTTCTGAAGCAAAAAATAGCTACACCTAAAGTTATTGCAAAAATTAATACTGATCAATTTATAATTAAAGTTATTAGGTGCAGCCAGCCAATTATCCTCCTTATTGCCATCTTTTAAAGTCAAATTCATTTATTTTCTAGCTAATTGCTCTGAGTATTCTAGTTTCAAAGCAACTGGAAGTCTATTACAGTTATAAAAKAATCAAGTGTTTCTGAATCACAAGCTATACATTTCAATAAAAAATATATTAAGTAAAATATGTCACAATAATTACAAAGCTTCTCAGACAATGGTATACACYGTACCAAGGCTACTAAAATCTGGATTTTCTGTGGTCTGACAAAGAAGTCTGTGAGTAAGGTAGGAGAGGAGTGGAATGCTAATCCTGCCAAGGCCAGGGCGGTTCAGAATGCAGAGCACCCCCAGCCCTTGCAGCGAGCAGAGGAGGCGCTGGGCATCGCACGGGGCTGCACAGAGAGTGCTCTGTGACGGATCCAAACGTCCTGGAAACGCTTTCCATCTGGATTAAAAAGTCAGAACTACACAGAAAGGAAGTCACAGCAAGCATTCTATATATAAACAGACTGTATCCACATAGTTTATTTCTCACAGTTCTCCTGACAATTGAACATTATTTAAGAACATACTGTATACACAGATAAGAAGAAACATACAAAATGTTTTAAATGATGCACAACAAAATCCAGCAGTATAAAAGAATGCATGTGAACCCTTGCTCACTGCTCAGGCTAAATTTAATCACTGTTTAAATAGTAATAAAAATACAATCTTTCATGGATCTTGTGCAGACTACAAAAGAGGAAAAATTATTACCATATATATGATTTATATTAGGCAGTTTTCTTTGATGAGTTGCACTAACAACTCCAAATACAGAGGCAGAAGGCTGTGTATTTTATTTTAAAGGAGTTAATGTTGAGTATTAGAGACTTTACACAGTTACTAGCACTGGCACTTTTCACCATATTTTGTACACATCACATGATCATCTTATATAACATTACATTTAAAAAATATATCTGAGTGACAATTTTATAACATTCACACACCATGAGCTGGTTAAGGAAGCAATGCCACAGTTGCCCCCTGTAGTGCTTCACTGTTGGTAAATAGAGTTTGTCGTGGTTTTAAAAAAAAATTTAAAAATTGAAGGTCAACATGATTAAGCAGCTCTGATTTAATAAAGGCCTGTAGCCAACCATCGCCGAGACAGTGAGTATTTTTAGAGTACAGCCTAGAAGCAAACACTGTCATTGGTTAAAACCTTGCCTAAAGAAGTCAGTTACTGTGCTGAAAACTATTTCACAACAAAACTGCAAGCTACTAAACTGTTTTTATATAAATACTTCATCTCCTCTGGATCTCATTATAACCAAGTTCTTCGAAGCCTTTGGAATTTACTCTATCTTTAATGTGTGCTCTCATTTCTGGCTCACCCTTTTGTATGTTTTTCTTTTGTTTAGATTCACCACCTAAAAGTGACTAATGTGGTGAAAGAAAAGTCTCCCAGTGAAACCTTCTGCACACTAGGAATGTTCAGCTGCTGTTCAGTGATCTAGAACCATGACAGCTCAAAGCTGTAGTTTGACAAGTACACCCAGGAAGCTGTCATGCTGTGAGTGACATTTCAGGGAAAGCAGAGTCTTTCCAAAATGTGCACAGAATTAACAATGGTGCCATTGTTATTTTTCAAAGAGGATAGTAAACCCAAGATGGTAGATCTGCTTCCCATGTCATCTATTTGCTGGAAAGTAGTTTGGGTCAAGATAATTGTAACTGGTGCCCTGGGACATGCAGTAGTCTCTGTCTAAAAATGTCTCTGCTCTGTAAATAGGTTCTAACTGGTGATCTTCCTTATGAATCTCTGTTTCATGCAGACTGCAAGGGAAAGAAAAAGATAACAGTTTAAAAGTCAAATATTTKCCTTATCTTTAACTTTCAGAAACAGTGATCATACGAACAGATTCATATCAAACTGGATAGCAATTCATTCATAAAGTCTAATTCCCCCCTCTATTTAACTGTACCAAACCTATCTGTTCACTGTATTAAAAAGAATCATACATCCAGAATTTGCTAACAAAATGTATCTCCCACAAATAGRTGCTAAATTATCTTCCACTTTACCCAACACAGGATGTGTCCTATGCTGRAGAAAAGATACCCACCCTACATGGTAATTACGCAGTAAAGAGATTCAATCTAATGAGAARTAACAAGCAGAAGCACAAGTAGACTGCTCACCAGTCAGAACACGAATCACAGAAATCCAAGGACATTTCTTGAGGGCAATCTTGGCAGTGCCACCGAACACCCTGGATAGGTTCAATCCCGCAGTTATCACACTGTGGAGCAGATGGAAGAGCACTGAGGAAACTGCAACTAGAGGCACTTGCACCAATTTACCCCATGGAAATCTCTGCATTCCTGTGTTACTGCCACACTGCTGAACTCTCCTCACTACAGACCTCAATGCACTCGTGGAGAAAAGTCCTCATTCTCTAGGAGAGGCCCTCCAGAGCCCTGAGGATCCATTCAAGCTTTTCCTTTGTTCCCGCTCCCCAAATGCTCCATCTTGGCATTATCCTGCTCAAGAAAAGCAGCCCAGCCCTGCCTGCAGACACTGCTTATCCTCAGGTGGCTCTGAGCTGCTGTGACACAGCACAAGATGTCTCATAAATCCAGCCACAGGAAATGTCAGACCTTCCAYGGCAGAAGGGAGCTGTAAGACCAGACCAGCAGAGCTTGTTGGGAGGCTGCTGGAGGGCTGTGGATCAGGGCACAACAGGGCAGAGTGATGCACTTCCCAACTCAGGAAARGTGGTAACACATCATAGGTGGGCTGGAACTAAAGGCAGGGGGCTGGCAAGGAAGGGGAGTAACTTGTTCAGAGAAGGAAACAGACCTAGAACTAAAACTGAGCAAGCAGACAAGAACTAATCCCAAGAAGAATCAGAGACAACACAAAAGCAAAGTGCCAGAGTGTGGCAAGAAGAGGGAAAAAAAAGTAAAAGCAAAACATGAAAGACTAGATGAAAAACTGACAATGAATTTTAGAGAAGAGGGGCAGAAATGCAAAAATATTTCATAAAAGAAACGAAGAAAATGGGACTTGCAGGCAAGGGCAGCTTTTCAAAAATCTGAACTAAGAAGAGTGCTGCAGAGACAGGACTGAAAAGGRAAAAGAAATGTGGGAAACAAGCCTGTGCTCCCATAGCTCATCCTCCATCCATCTATCAGAACCTGAAGTTCTCTTCAGCATCTGTGGAACCCACTGGTATAGCAGCTGCTCCTGCCACCACTGATGCACTCAGGGATACAAACACCTTACACA